CGAGCATACACAAGGCTTAGTGTCCAATCTCTAGAACACAGGGAGAGGGACATGGGAAAAACAGCTTTGTGGCCCAAGAACCAATCTTGCTGAAATATACTGGTGACTGGATGTTTTTACAGTTCCCTATTCTGTTTCAACACAAAATTGACCTGGAATACATGGCTGAACCTTAAAATCAGCTTTTCTGATAGAGGTTGAAGATCATTCAGGCACTTGGCTCTGAACATAATGGGCAGAGATATTTTGTTTGCTGTGGAAAAGCATCAGCAAACTCTGCCTTACTTTCAGACCATGTTCTCCAATCTGATTTTGGTTTCCTTGCCTGCTTAGAAAATGTAATGGCAAGATCCAAATCTCTATCCTAGTAATGCCTTGTCTTAAACCCTGATTCATAGAAAGGCACTTACCTCTTAACAGGCAGCCACACTAGCCAGTCTGTTAAATGCTTTTTTTAAAAAAAAAAAAAAAGAAAAACTAACAAATGAAATTCTGAAATCAGACAAATTGCATAAAAGATGGGGAGAGAAAAAAATAAGCTTCCTGTGAGAGGAAGGGATGTCCAGGAGAAAGCCAACTGGGCTGAACCTTAAAAACACGGGCTCGTCTGACATGTATCAATCACAATCGAGCACAGCAGAGCTGGCCTATCCCAGCTGCGGATTCCCCCAGGCAGTGTCCAAAACCCTGGAAGGCAGCTTTGGTCAGCAGGTTCAGTACAACAGGAAAGGCATCCTGGCAGAGTCCAGTGGTCCTGTTAACGGAGGCTGCTGCTGCTGCTGGCCTGGGAGCTGCCCATACCTGGGTGGTCTGGACTATGTCGGTTCTGGAGGAGACAAAAGGGGGTTAGAACATTTAGGAATGAAAGCATAGGCCTGCTGGTGCAAGACCTGTAACCCCAGCTACTTGAAAGGCTGAGGCGAAAGGATTGCAATTTCAAGTTTTGCCCGGGCAACTCAGTGAAACCCTGTCTCAAAAATTACAAGAACAAACAAAAATAATAAGGTGGACTGCAGTGGTGAACTTGCCTACCATAAGTGATGCCCTAGTTCAGTCCCTGGTATCTCCAAAAAAACAGAAAAGCTGTGGCCAGCATTCTACAAGAAAAAAACTTGCCCTGGGCTTTAGTGTTGGGTCCAGCTTGAGGCAAAGGCTCTACTTAAGGGTAAGATAGAAAGCTCTCTGAGCTTCGACAACAGCCCTCTACCTTACCTTCTTTTTCTTTTTCTCTTTCTTCTTCCTTTTTCGTTCAGGATCCTCCTCTTTTTTCTTTTTCTTCTTCTTGTGGTCTGAATCAGATGGTGTTTCTGTAGGAGATATTAGGTGCCTATAACTTGTTGAGCTAAAACTTCCTATCGGAGGCAACTACTTTTTTTTCAAGTAGCCAGAAAGGATACAGAGGTGCTGCTAAAGCCCCAGTGCCAAGTCTTACTTGCCCAAGAGACTCCATCTAATACATCAGTTTCTTCTTCAGGAAAATTTGGGAATCCAGGGCTGTTACCAAAGAACTTTAAGTAGGTTTAACTGAAGGCCAAGCCAGACTTGGATGAGTATTCTTGCTTTGACTAGAATAGCTGCTTACCTGGGGGGACAGGATCCTGGGTTCGGCTCTGTTTGTGCTTATGCTTGTTCTTCTTCTTGGGAGGCTGAATGTGCATCAGACGACACTGCTCTGGCAACTGAGGGAACCGAAGGAGAATCCAGGTGAGTAGAGGAAATCCTCTGCTCCCTTCATCTGTTCTGCTTAGTAAATGATGAAGGAACAGACTTGGACAGATAACTACAACTACCTCCATGCCATTTAGGCCTCCCCATTTACTTCCTTCCTAAAAGGGGACTCACCGGGCCAGTGTGGAGGCGGAAGCCAGACAGCATGGTCCCTGTGATAGGATTAAAAGAACCACCAAGAATAGGAGGCTTCTCAATGAGGGAGCGGAGACTGCTGTTATCATGGGAACCAGGCAGATCAATCATCCCTGGCAGGTCAGGCAAGAAGTTACTTAGTTTCTCCTTCACCTTCTTCCCACAGAATTTATTATAGGCCTGTTCCAGATTGTAGTGTGTGATTAGATTGGTGCTGCCTGTCAGCTCTGTGCTACCTAAAAAACATAGTCATAATGAGAAGTTAGTACCAAAAGTAGAGAATGTCACTGACCCAGAGGGAAAATCGAGGACCACACCTGAATGTAAATAAGAAATCTATTTAATGAGAATTACAAATTTTTTAAACTATTTCTAAAGTAAAAAAACAAAAACAAATTTTATAGTTTGAATATCCCTGAAAACCTGAAACTAATTGAGTTCCAACACTCAAATAGTTTCAGATTTTGAAGTATCCCACACTTTAGATTTTTGGGTTAGGGATGATTAACTGGTAAAAACTATTCAAATATCCCGAAATCTGAAAAACTGTAAAATTTGAAGTACTTCTGGTCCTATACATTCAGATAAGGGACACTAAAAATGAAATAACATGATAGCCAGGGTGGTGATGCATACCAGTAAAGCCTGTAATTCGAGTACTCAGGAGGCTGAGGCAGGAGGGCAGTCTTGAGTTCAAGGTTAGCCTGGCCTATATGTAGTGAAATCCTGTCTCTACCTCCAAGTCAATGACCTACAATCAACACAGAATTATTTTACTGTAGAACAGAGAAACAGAAAGGCAGAGATGGAAACTGAAGAAAACGCTCCTGGACTAACCAGAGTCTTATTCTTGTACTTATACAACACTGTATTGAACACTGTCCTGAGTGGTTTTCATAAAATATCTTAGAATCTCTGCCATGATCAGGGTAACAGAACCTCAAAGCTCAGTTAAAACTATGCGAAACATCAAATAGATGCACTGGTATGAGGGTCATGTCAAGGACTAATACTGTTATTTACTTATTTTATTGATACAGCTATGGCTGGCTTCAAACTTGTGGCAATCCTCCTGCCTTATCCTCCTGAGTGCTGGGGTTATAGGTGAGTACCACCATGCCTGGCTTTATTTAATAGGAAGAAACACCAGTCACCTTTGTATAGGAAAACACAGGAGATTTTGGTAGCTGTGACTGCCTTGTTACCAACATGTTTATTCTCCATGATACCAAGTAATGCTTTGTCTAGTTGGTCATTCAGAAGATGAGCAACTAGAATTCTTTTTTTAAAAATTTTATTATTTTTAAAATTTTATGTGTATGCATGTATTGCCTGCATGTAGGTAAGTGCACCCGTGTCGTGCAGTGCCCACAGAGGACTGAAGCTGTCGGACCTCCTGGAACTGGAGTTATGAACAGTTGTTAGCTGCCACGTGGGTGCTGGAATTCGAACCCAGGTCTTCTGCAAGAACAACTGCTCTTAACTGCTGAGCCATCTCTCCAGCCCCCATCTTTTTAAAAAAAATATTATTTATTTATTTTTTTATGTGTATGAGTGTATTGTCTGCATGTATGTGAGTGCTCCTGAGTTGTGCAATGCCGTGAAGGTCAGAAGAGGGCTTCGGATTCCCCTGGAACTGGAGTTAAGGATGGTTCATAGCCACCATGTGGGTGCTGGGAACTGAACCCAGGTCCTCCGCAAGAGCAGTCAGTGCTCTTAACCACTGAGCCATCTCTCCAGCCCCGCAACTAGAATTCTAATACTGCCTGTTACTGGCTGAGCTCTATGCCCTCCTTTTACATGTGTAATGGGATAATAATGCTCATTGAAAAAAATATAAAATATATACATGCAAGGCACTGCCAATATAAATACTACATGGCTTACTTTTCCAAAATATATAAACACACCAGTGTCTCAAGTAGCAAAAGAAGAAATATCTAACCTACAACCCTTATGACAACATACAAAGTAAAAATAACAAATGTGGCTTGTTTACAGTCATTCACTGGAAAAGCTCAGGCTCTGAACTGTGAGCCCCTTGACAGCAGAGACAGGGTCTTGTTCATTCGTGCACAGCTAGTGCCCACCACACTGCACTTGTTACTCTAAATCTTCCAGAAATAAGTACTTTTCCTCTGCATGCCTAGGCCTTCACCTATTTCATTCTTGTTACTGTCAAATGACTCAGAAGACTGGTCTACTATAGTGTTGGGCTACTCAGCATTATAGTATCTCTCCTTATAACTTTGGGCACTGTCTCTTGCCATTATAATCTGATCCCCCAACAACTCCTTCCAGATGCTTAGGTTTAAGGCTCAGGTGAGAAGGTACTTGGTGCATTCTATAACCTCTAAGAAAAGAGTTCAAGATGACTGAAGTGGCCCATACTAGCAATCCCAGCATTTAGAAGGCAGAGGCAGGGAGATCAAGAATTTATGGTTTTCCTCAGTTACATGACACCCTGTCTCAAAAAAAATTGTTTTTAAATAAGTAAACGTGAGTTCAACTTCTATTTGAACTAGTTTGACTATTCTGTGAAAATTATAATTATTTATTTATAAACCTCCCTCAAATCCCTGACTTTTGAAAAGAAATCTTGAATTCCCAATTTGTTAATTACATGCAGAATCCAATTTTTCTTTCTCGCAATGGCTTCTCTAGTTCAGTTTTTGGTATTCAAACTCTGTAGTTTTGGAATGTAATCTTAGTTAAAACAATCTCAGTGGTGCTAGGGTTGTGGCTCTGTGGTAGACCTTGTGTAGCATGTGCAAGGCCCTGAGTGTGACTCTCGGCATTGAAAACAAAATAGAAACCACTGGAATTCCTTTGGTACTTGGGCCTAATACTTTTTTTTGAGACAGGGATTCATGTAGCCAAAACTAGCCTCGAATTTGTTACAAAGCTAAGGATGACCTTGAATGCCTGATCCTCCTACCTATACCTCCCAAGTGTGGGAATTGTAGATATACAGCATGCCTGGTTTGTGTGGTGTGAGGACTGAATACAGGACTTCATGCACACTAAGCAAGCACCCTATCAACTGAGCTACATCCCCAACCCTTTAATCATATTTTTACTTCAACTTAGCTTTGGAGCCTAATCAACCACTACTCTTTTTTTTTTTTTTTTTTTTTTTTTTTTACCAAAACTTTTTAAGCTTTGGGTCATTTCCTTGCATACTCCAAAATTATATATATATTACCTTGAACTCACAGAGATCTGCCTGCCTCTGCCTCCCAAGTGCTGGGATTAAAGGCATACGCCACCACTCCCGGCTTCAACCACTACTCTTACATGCAAATTCTAATCTATCCAAATGGATCTATCTCCTGGGAAAACATAAAAGAAACAAACTTCAATACTGGTTCCTTTAAGGAAAATTCTAATTTTGTTCAGCTATATACATTCTTCTTCAAGGTTTAGTTTTGTTGTCATTTTTGGCTAACAACACATTTTGAAAATTATTTTTATGTGCATGAATGTTTTGCCTGCATATATATAAGTGTACCCATGCATTCAATGCCTACGGAGGCAGAAGAGGACACCAGATCCCTGGGAACAGGAGTTAGGAATGGTTGTTAGCCACCATGTTGGTGCCCGGAACTGAACTGGGTCCTCTGCAAAAACAGCCAATACTTGTAACCACTCCAACTCCTATCAGGTAGTTTTTAATACTGTTCTCTAAGACATGTGAGGCATGACCACAAAGTAATGAGATTGACCCTGACAAGAAATATAAGTACTGCCAGGTGTGGTGCACGCCTGTAGTCCCAGCACTTGGGAGGCAGAGGCAGGCGGATCTCTGTGAGTTCAAGGCCAGCCTGGTCTACATAGTGAGTTCCAGAACAGCTGGGGCTTACAGGGAGACCCTGCTTAAAAAAAACCAAAAAAAAAAAAAAAAACCAAACCAAAAAATACATGTACTATTCAACCATCTCCCTAATGAATTATAATGCTTCTTAAAAAACCAGGTTTATGGCCAGGTGTGGTGGTGCATGCCTTTAATCCCAGCACTTGGGAGGCAGAGGCAGGGGGATCTCTGAGTTCAAGGCCAGCCTGGTCTACATAGTGAATTCCAGGCCAGCTGGGGCTACAGAGAGAACCTGTCTCAAAAAGACCGAAGAAAAAAAAACCCAAAAAATCCAACCAGGTTTATTAGTCTCACACCATCCTTCTCTGGCTCCCAACATTCTCAGAACATATAGTCAGTCTTTGTCAAGCGATTCACATAAATAGGTACAATTGGTACAATTAGAATAGGTAGCTGGGTGTGGTGGTGCCTGCCTTTATTCCCTGCGGTTGGGAGGCAGAGGCGAGTGGATCTCTGTGAGATCGAGGCCAGATGTGGCTACAGAGAGACCCTACCTTTAAAAAATAAAAAAAAGAGAAAAGAATAAAGCAAAAGAAAGATTAAGAAACTGATGGAAAGCTGGCCTGGGTGGTGCAATCAGGAGGTAGAGGCAGGTGGATCTCTGTCAGTTTGAGGCCAGCCTGGTCTATCTACACAGCAACTTCCAAGCCTGCTGGGGCTATGTATTAAGACCCTGTCTCAAAAAACCACCAACAAAATCAAAACAAAAACAAAGAAAAAAACAGTGTGAAAAAAGTGCGGTGGCACACCCTTTTAATATGCAGAAGCAGGTGGATCTCAGTGAGGCTAAGGCTGGCCTGTTCTATATAATGTATCACTAAAACACAGTCAACCTCTTTATTCTTTAGTTTTTCAATTATACAATACAGATAATACCTATCTTAAAGGGCTACAATAAGTACTAAATACTGTTATGTATTGATAACATCTTGAAAACTTTATTTTTTGGAGACAGGTTGGCCTTCAACTTCTGATCCTCCTGCCTTCCACCTCCCAAGTGCTGGAATTATGGGTGTACTACCACATCAAATCCTTGAAGACTTAGCATGTTCAGGACAGCTCTTAATTTCCAGCTCCTCAAATTTATTCTTTTCATAACTTCCTACTCTCAGATTGCTATCGCCTCCCTATAAGACATTGAGCTGTTTCTCTAGCCCTTCCTTTCTCTAATTTTATTATTTTTTATTTTATTTTATTTTATGTGTATTCATGTATCGCCTGCATGTAGGTAAGTGCACTTGTGTTGTGCAATGCCCATGGAGGTCAGAAGAGGCTGTTGGATCCCCTGGGACTGGAGTTACAGACAGTTGTTAGCTGCCATGTAGGTGCTGGGATTCAAACCTGGGTCTTCTGCAAGAACCACCAGTGTTCTTAACCACTGAGCCATCTCTCCAGCCCTCTAATTTTTTTTTTAAAGCCAGGGTCTTACTATGTAACACTGGGTAGCCTGGAACTCACTATGTAGACCAGACTGGCATCTAATTTACAGAGATCTGATTGTCTCTTCTGCAAGGATTAAGCCAGTGAGCTACCACACCCAACTTCCTTCTCTTTTATATTCAATTTTTAATTCCAGGAAGCTCTGCCTCTAACATGGACCCTGAATCCATTTGGTTCACGACTATTAAGATCTGGTTAAAACCATCATCTCTTTCCTGAACTAGTAACTTCTGGTTACCCACTTTCCTTCCTCATGTTCCTGTTTGAATACTTGAGACTCAACAGACGATCATTTCACACTATGTTGAAATGGCTTCCCTTTAAATTTCAAACACCTTATACTGCCTTATAAAGGCCTCTGCCTACCTCTCTCTTTGTATCTCCTACCACTATTGGACTTGTTTGATTTACTGGAATCCAGTGGGTCTTCTTTCCCTCAGACACACCCAAGCTTTTTTCCCACAGTAGGATGTTGTTTCTTATATCTAGAAGTATTTCCCTCCTGTCTATCCACGGCTGGCTCTTTGTTTATACTCAAATGCTACCTACTCAGAGAAGATTCTGTGTTCACTCCAGCTGAAGTGGTTCTGCTCAGTTATGGTCTCTTTGCGCTTTACCTGTACTACTGATATGTAAAAGACAAAGATTTTATCAGTCTTGTTCACACGGTATCTCCAGTTTTTGAAACAGGGCTTGGATGTACTGTAAATGCGCAACGAAATATTTTTTTACTTAGCGTGAAAGCTGATCTTAATATATCCTAGCAATAGCTCACACCCCCAGTCTCCAAATAACTGAAAGAATTCCAAGAACTGGTTTAGTTCTAATTCTGTTTTTTAACAGGTGAATCGCGGAGTCCCTGATAAGGAAGGCAGTTTGCTACAAACCAACAAGTCTGTGTCAGACTTTAAACTAGACTCTTAACGGTCTCCAGGGATGTTAAATCCTGTTTCCCGAGTTCCAAACGTTAACAGAACCCGGATTTACATAGGAAGGTCGTCCCAAATATGCACGCCCAACCCTTATCCATCCCAGGAAATCAAGCCATTCCTTAGAGGTGAGAATCCTAAATTCTTCGGACTCTGAGCCCCACTGGTCACGCATTGCCTAGGTTACCTCTCACCTCCCGCCCGGGCTGCTAGCCACAGCCATTGCATAATCTACGATGGGATTGGTCGGTCTGTCCCACTCCTCACCTGGCAGTTCCCGCATTAGGTAAAAGGGGCCGCATCCAGCCGACGACTTGTCGGCGTCCGTGGGGACCGAGGTGGCAGTTGGCGGCGGGGCCGTGCCGGGTCCCCCTCCTGGAGGAGGTGGGGGTGGCGGGGGAGGCTTTCCGGGTCCGAAGCCCAGGGCGCTTGGGGGCGGTGGGGGGTCAGCGTGAGCTCCAAACAGCGCCGAGAAATTCTCCATCGTAGTCTCGGCCCCGGAGCTGCCGCCGATCTGCCGTTAAAGATTTTCATTGGACATTACTTTCCCAGGGTACCGCCCTCTTCTTCTGGGCGCTTCCTATCATTGGATCCGTCAGGCCCCGCCCACCCTCTTCCGGAATTACTTCCGTCGCTCTGTGAGAACGTCCAGGAAGTGCTAGCTAACCGTATTCTCGGATAGCTCGGCTCTACTCTGATGGAAAAGCGACAGCCACAAGGCCCAGTAGGCTCTCAAGTCCCGCCTCTGACCTAGCCATCCAATGAGAGGTCTACATCCGGGTCCAGAGGCGGTGCGGCTGCGATTTGGCCCAATAGACGTCTCACTGGAGCGCTCGACGGGCGGAGTGGGACCTTCCGAGCGCCCGGCTGCAGGCCGAGAAGATGGCGGTCCTGGCGCCTCTGATAGCGCTTGTGTACTCGGTGCCGCGGCTTTCCCGATGGCTGGCTCGACCCTACTGCCTTCTGTCGGCCCTGCTCTCTGCTGCTTTCCTCCTCGTGCGGAAACTGCCACCTATTTGCCAGGGTCTTCCCACGCAGCGCGAAGATGGCAACCCGTGCGACTTCGACTGGGTGAGCGCCCCCTGCCTCAGCCCACGACCTTGAGCATCCCTGCCCTGCAGGTGCATCTGAGAGGAGGGGTTCAGCCCTTTCCGGGACGCCCCGGCCGAAGTATACTAGCTGACAGCCCTGATGCGAAGCCCGGGAAGAGCCAGTGAGGGAGACAGGGCGAGTAGTAGTAATCTCGTTTTTAATTAAGAAAAAATTGACAAACTGGTCTCGGTGCAATTAGGAGCTTGCTGTCTAACTGAATTAAATTGTCTGATAGCCCGGCAAAGGTCGCTTCTGAGACAAATGCCTCCGATGGAAAAGCGCCCACCGGACTACTCTGGCCACAGTTGCCTACACACACTGCCCTTCTGAGGCAGGATAGGACAGGGAAGATTTACAAGGACATTCGGAGGGAGAGAATCTCCTCACTGTCTGAGAAGCAGGAATTCCAACGCAATTAACCTTTGCTGTGAAGGTTGTGACATAAAGCTAATCCTTTTGCATACGGATCTTTTATGTTAAAATAGCAATGACTTAAGGCTTGAATGTGTTTATTTATGACCTTGCGCAGGGCTTCATGCCTTTCCCCAGACATTTTCAGGGACTTTCAAACAAGTTTGTTAACTTTGTTTACATTCAAGATATTCTACCTCCCTGCACTCCTGTGATTCAGAGTTTGACCTTATCAATTGTAAGCCTACCAAGTGCCCCTCAAGAGCCTCTCTAAGAGCCTCCCCGTTGTAGGCTGCAGAGATGGCTTAGGGGTTAAAGAGCCCATACTGCTCTCCCAGAGGATCAAAGTTCAATTCCCAGCATCCCCGTTGAGCAGTCACACAGGCCTGTAGCTCCAGCTCCAGAGGATCTGACACTCATATATGCTCATATCCCCCAATAATAAAAAAGTAAAATAAACCTTAAAAAAAGCCACCCTGTGATCTCATTTGTTTCTCAGCTACCCTTTGAAAATATCCACCTCAAATTCCTCCACAGTCACATATTGTTAGGAAAATGGAGTGTATGCCTTTCTCAGAGGAGCATAGTCATGCTCTTTAGGGTCGTTCTTTCTCTTTTAAGCCCATATTAAAATAGCTTTACAAAAAAACAAAACAAAACCCATCTCTGCTTTACACTGGCTAGTCCTGGAACTTTTTTCTTTTCCTGGAATTTTTTTTTTTTTTTTTTTTTTTTTTTTTTCAGGGGAAACCCACCTGTATAGAGACTGGACCCGCATTGTCTTTTTTTGTTTTTTAACAGGTCTCATTCTGTACACTAGGCTAGGGTTGAACTTTTGGGATTCCTCTTGCATGTGTATACCACCACATTGGCCTGTGTCTTAATTTGGTAAATATTTCCAGAATGCAGTCTATGTTAATTACATCCTGAAGATGCAAAATAGAATAAAAATTTGAGGCTTATTGGAAAGGAAAATATATTGTAAAAAGGTCAGCTTGGTAGTACATACCTGTAATTTCACACTTGGGAGGTGGAGGTGAAGTTCCATAAGGACTTGGGGGTCAGCCTGGGCCACATAAGATCCTTGAAACTAAAACAAAGTTTAGAAACAAAACGTTATAAAAAAATTTGACCTGAGCCCCTTACTCTGCTTCTTGGGTAGGGAAAGGGGGATTGCATCCCAAAAATGAGCTGAGGCTTTATGCTCTTTGATAAAGAGCCATAATTCATAACATCTAGAGCTTTTGTCTTATTATTTTAAGGCAGCATTTGGTAGCTGAGCCTAGGTGTGAATTTGTAATGTACCCGGAGTGTGCTTGAATCACAATCTTCCTTCATTGGGTGTCTTTCTTGCTCACTCTCTACCTTCTACATTAAGGTAGTGGCTTTCACTTTAACCCAGAGTTCGCTGATTTGGCTAGTCTAACTAGTCAGCTTCATCCAGGGATCCTGTCTCTGCTTCCTAAGTGTTAGGAGTACAGGTGGGCTGCCACACTTACCTGGCATTTGCTAGGGATCGTAACTCTCATCCTCATCTTTGCATAGCAAGCACTTTACCCATAGAGCCATCTCTTAAACCCCACAATCTTATTATTATTTTTTGGTCTTTTTGAGACAGGGTCTCCCTGAAGCCCCAGTGGACCTGGAACTCCCTATGTAGACCAGACTGTCCTCAAACTCAGAGATCCACATGCCTCTGCCTCCCGAGTGGTAGGAATAGAGGCCTGCACCCATCACACCTGGCTTTATTTATTTATTTACTTACTATTTATTTTTTGTCTTTTAAGACAGGCTCTCATTGTAACCCCAGCTGGTCTAGAACTTGCTATGTAGGTCAAGCTGGCCTCTATATCACAGAGATCTGCCTGCCTCTGCCTCCTGAGTGCTGGGACTAAAGGTGTGCACCACCATGCATGACCAAAATCTCATTTTTATCTGATACAGACCTTTTATAGTATTTCTCTGTACAATCTTGTCTAACATATATAAGAAATATATAAAGATACTTGAGGTTTTAATATTTTATTAGTCTAGTAGAATTTTTAAAAACTTTACTTAGTGTTAAGGAGTTGTGGATGTAGCTCAGTTGGTAGATTACCCCATAGCATGTAGGAGGCCCTGGGTTCCATGTCTGCCATTGCATAAGATTCCCATTGCCACATGAAGTGGACGGGAGGGCCCATGCCTGTGATCTTAGCACTCTGGAGGTGGAGGCAGAAGGACCAGGAATTCAGGTCATTCTCAGCTACTTAGAAAGTTTGAAGGCAGCCTGAGCTACAGAAGACCCAGCCTATTTTTTTCTTTTAAAAAGTTTTTTTTTAAATTCTGTGTGTGTGTGTGTGCCTGTGCTTGCATGAATGTAGGTACCTGAGGAGGCCAGTGGTGGCAGATCCCTCTGGAGCTGGAGTTACAGGCCGAAGTGAGTTGCCCAACATGGGTGCAGGGAACTGAACTTGGGTCTTCTGCAAGAGCAGTAAGTGCTCTTAATCACTAAGCCAGGCCTCCACAGCCCTCTTCCTTTTGGAGTTGGATCTTTAGGAATGCTGACACATGCTTTGAGGCGTGGTTGGTCTCTCTTGTCTTGGAGCTCACCAGTTAGGCTGGACTCCTGTCTTTGCTTCCCCAGCACTGGGAGTGCAGGTGTCCACCACCATGCTTGGCTTTTTAAAAAAATTAATTTTTTTTGGTTTATTTTAATTTGATGTATATGAGTGTTTTGCCTGCATATATATAAGTGCACCATGTGCAGGCAATATCAGGTGTTTTTCTTTGTCACTCTATATCTTAACTTTTTTTAACTTAAAAAAATTTTTTATTTTATGTCTATGAGTGTTTTGCCTGAATGTATGTAAGTGCACCATGTGCATGCAGTGCTTGTGGAGGCCAGAAGAGGGTGTCAGATCCCCTGGAACTGGAGTTACAGATGGCTGTTAGCTGCCTTTTGGGTGCTGGGAATTGAACCCAGGTCCTCTGCAAGAACAGCCAGCGTTCTTAACCACTGAGCCCCATACTTAATTTTTAAAAATTTATTTTATTTTTTATTTTATGTGTGTCGTGCCTACATGTATGTAAGTGCACCCAGGTGCAGTGCCTGTAGAAGCCAGAAGAGGGTGTTGGATCCCCTGGAACTGGAGTTAGAGCTGGTTATTAGCCACCATGTAGGTGCTGGGATTCGAACCCGGGACTTCTGCAAGAGCATCTAGTACTCTTAACTACTGAGGCATCTCTCCAGCCCCATTCTTAATTCTTTAAAGACAGGATCTCACAACCTGGAGCTCTCCATTTTGTCTAGACTATCTTCATTGTCCCGGGATCTACCTGCTTCCATTCCCTCAGCACTGGGGTTACAGTTGTGCACTGTCATGCCAGCTCTCACATGACTGCTGGGGATCTGAACTTGGGTTTTCATGTTTGTACAGCAAACATTTTAACCATTAATCTATTTACCCAGCCCCACACCTGGTACTCTTTTGTAGGTTCTGGGGATTGAACTCAGGCTCTTGTGCTTGCCAGGGCAAGCACTTACCATCCGGGTGACCCCACAACCCCCCGCCAAGGCAAGCACTTACTAACTGGGTGACCCCACAACCCCACGCTGATGTTTTTCCTACTATCATAACAGAGAACACTTTTGTGACCTCTAATTACCAAGGAGTGTGTGGGAGGTCAGACGTGGTGGTACACACCTGTAATCCCATCCGCTCAGAGGTAGGAGGATTGCTTTCAAGTTGGATGCCAGGTTGGGCTGCATAGGGAGAGCCTGTCTGAAAAACAACAAAAACAGCTCAAAAAGGAAGAATACAGATCTCCTCTTGCTAACAGCCAGTCATTTCTGGTAGCAATACCAAGTGGATATGATTGATTATACATTGGTCATTGGCACTGGGAATACTAAGGTAAGTTTGAGGCTAGCCTGGTTTTTATAGTGGAAATGTCTCAAAAAAAAAAAAAAAAAAAAAAAAAAAGACAAAGGGCTGGAGAGATGGCTAGGTGGTTAAGAGCAGCTGGCTACTCTTGCAGAGAACCCATGTTTGATTACCACATGGTGGCTAACAATTGGCTGTAGCTCCAGTTCCAGGGGAATAAGTTAAAAAAAAAAAAAAAAAAAAAGTAGGTAGGGACTATATGCCATGCATAGTGGTCTGCGTTTCCAGCTTCTTGGATATGAGAGCATCACTTGAGCCCTGGGATTTGGGATCAGCTTGGACAACATGGTGAGGCCTTTTTTGAGGGGTCTTTTTGAGATGGACTCCTGTAGCCTCAGCTGGCCTGGGACTCGTTATGTAGACCAGGCTGCCCTTGATCTTACAGAGATCTGCCTGTCTCCCTTTGTTATTTTCATTTTGGTTCTTACTCTCTGAAATGATCTTTTTTGTCTCTGTTGTCTACCTTATCTGCTTGTTTTATACTTTCCTCATTCTAGAAAATAAGATCTATAGGAAGCCAAGGAGCTCTGAAAGCCCCTCAGCTCTGGCATGATAGCAAATGTGCATGGTCATTACTGTAAATGTTCAGTAGACAGAAATGATCTGATTTAAAGTAGGATAGCTAGATACCACATTGAAGGACTACTATAAAGAAAACTTCCCAGGAAGCCAGGTCTGGTGGTATATGCTTATAATCCCAGCACTCAGAAAGCTGAGGCAGGAGAATTATAAGTTCAAGGCCTGCATAGACTACTTAGACCCTTTCTCAAAAACCATAAAAGAACCATAAAAAAGAACCCCAGTACTTGAGCAGCTGAGGCAAGAGGATCACAGAGTGTGAAGCCTGCCTAGGCTACATACTGAGACCCTATTTTAGAGAACTAAGAAGAAGAAAAAAAGGGAAAAAGAAAGCTCCAGAAAAAATGATTTTATCAGGGCTTCATTGAGTTGGTTATATTGTCATGTAATGGTTTTACATCATGTTGTGCCTTATTCAATGCTTTTTTTTTTCTTTTTCCAGACAGGGTCTCCCAGTAGCCCCAGCTGGCCTAGAACTCACTATGTACACCAGGCTGGCCTCGAATAGACATCCGCCTGCTTCTGCCTCCCAAGTGCTGGGACTAAAGGCATGTGGCACCATGCCCAGCTCAACCTCTTGTCCGCTGTCTTCTTTAATACACTAGTACTTGAAAATTCAGTTAAGAAAACCAGTGTTGGAGGAAGGGTGGTGAGATGCTCAGCAGGTAAAGCCACGTGCTGCCAAACCCGATGACCTGAGTTTGATATCCAGGACCACGTGCTGGAAGGAGAGAACCAGTTCACCAGAGTCATCCTCTGACTTCTACATGTGTGCTATGGAGTGTGCGCACACACATACAAAATAAATAATTAAAAAAAAAAGCCAAGTGGGAGAGTGATATAGATTAGAGGCTGAGACAGGAAGACTGCCTTGAGTTTAAGGCCAGCCAGCACTAGGTAGTGAGGCCATGTCTCAAGGGTGGAAGGAAGGAGGGAGGAAAAGAAAAAAGAGAAAACCCACAGCTCAGGGATTTGCTGAAAGACAGCAGCAGTTGACGGGTAGAGTGTGAATCTAGCTAGCTCTTCTGATGTGTTTGTTCCACTATGTCTTAGCCAACCTGTTATTTTTTTTAATGTTACCACTCCCAAGTTGTGTCTTTAGTTTCCTATTTTGTATTTGGTTGTCTTGCCCACTCCCCCATCAGTTCTGTTCACCATATTCTTTTTTTTTTTTTTTTTTTTTTTTTTTTTTTTGAACTATGTAGCACTGGCTGACCTGGAACTCAGTATGTAGACCAGGCTGGCCTTGTCAAACTCACAGAGATCCGCCTGCCTCTGCCTCCTGATGTTGGGATTAAAGGCATGCGCCACTACACCAGCCCTTTTCACCAAATTCTTGTCACTTACTATATTCCAGAGAGAAGTGGAGATCCTGATGTTCCTCAGTGCCATTGTGATGATGAAGAACCGTAGATCCAGTAAGCTTAGCCTGCTTTTCAGTGGCTCAGGGTTAGGCCTAATGCCCTGCAGATGCCTTTTTCGTCCATGCCGTTGGAGTAGCATTATTTAGTGAACTAGTGCCACATTTCATGCCAGGACTCAGTTTGACCTTGGACATCTATATCCTCTCTCCCATTCTCATTTCAAAGTACCCCAGGAAGAGGGACAAAGAGTGGGGTATAGGAGCCTTCAGCCCAGCCTGACTTGTGACACCTCTGTGTTTCAGTCACCGTGGAGCAACATGTAGGCAACATCTTCATGTTTAGTAAAGTGGCCAACGCAATTCTTTTCTTTCGCCTGGATATTCGCATGGGCCTGCTGTACCTCACACTCTGCATAGGTAAGAAAAATGCTTTTTATTATGTAATAATAATACATATGTGCCATGCATGGCACGTGCACAAATCTTTGATGTTATTATATCAGAATAATAAAATTCTTTGATAAAGGCTTGATTGTATCAGATTCTAATCCAAATAGCCTTCTCTTTACCCTTCTTTTATATCTTGTACCTAATTAATTATATAGCTCAGGTGATAAGAATTTGCCTAGAGGCTGGGTGTAGTGGCACGTACACCTTTACTCCCCCCTGCCCCCATAAAGCCTCACATCCCCACAGTCTCTCACATACTCTAGGCGCAAGCAGGCAGAGGCAAGTGGATCTCTATGAGTTCGAGGCCAGCCTGGTCTACGTATTAAGTTCTAGGCCACCAGTCTTGACCTCACAGAGATCCACCTACCTCTGCCTCCTGAGTGCTGGAATTAAAGGTATGCACCACCACGCCCAGCTATACTGTACAGTAAGAGGAAGAGAATGTGCTGGTGAACTACATATATCCAGACGTGTATTCTTTGGTGTCTGAATCCCTGAGTGTGTTAGCAAGTAAATCTACAAAGGCCCTGAATGTTTTTATCCTTGATGTCTTTTCTCTGTGTTCAGTGTTCCTGATGACTTGCAAGCCCCCCCTGTACATGGGCCCTGAGTACATCAAGTACTTCAATGATAAAACCATTGATGTGAGTGTTCTATTCTCTCTTGGGTTTCTGGTTTGGTTTTGTGCTCACTTCACAAACTAAAAGTGATGACAGTGCTTCAAAGTGGAAATCAGAGCTGGGTGGGATGGTGACCTAGATCCATAATCCCAGCACTTGGGAGGCTGAGGCAGAAAGACTGCTCCTACTTTTATGCCAGTGTGGGCTACATAGTGAGTTCTAGGCCAGCCTGGGCTACATAGCAAGACCTTTTCTTACCAGAAACATTGGTAGGCTGATGAGATGGTTCAGTGGGCCTAAAAACCTGAATTCAATCCTTGGAACCCATATAAAGGTAGAGAGAACCCACTCCACAGAATTGTCCTGTGACCTCCATGCATGGCACGTGCACAAATTTACACACACACACACACACACACACACATATATATACACATATATACATAATAATAAAGGGGCTATAGAGATGGCTCAGTGGTTAAGAGCATTTGGTGCTCTTGCAGCGGGTCTGGGTCTACTTCCCAACACCTACATGGTGGCTAACAACCATCTGTAACTCAAATTCCAGGGGATCTGACACCCTGTTCTGGCCTCCATGGGCACTGCATGCAGTTTGTGTACTTACATATATGCAAGCAAAACACTCAGACACATCAAAGTTTTTAAATTTTAATTAAGAAAAATGTTGGGTATGGCAGTGCTAGAAGAAAATTGACTCCCACATATGGGCTATGGCATTCGTGTGCCCACACCCACACAACAAACATAATAAAAGTTTTAACAAGTTGTTTAAAAAGCTAGGCATGGTGATGCACACCTACATGGTGGTGCATGTAGCTAAGACTACATTCGCTAGCCACTGCCCTGTCTCCTAAATGGTGTTTAAAGGCCACTTAACATTCTCAACCAAAAAAGAAGATTGGTGGTGATATAGCTTATGGTAGAGTGCTTGTCTAGTGTGTGTGAGGCCCTAGGTTCAATCCCTAGTACAATAAAAAAAAACTAAAATAACAAAAAAACCCCACAAAGTTGTCAGTGTCATTGTGGTACACTATGGGGATCCAGGGGGAAAAGGAAGGCCCAGGATGAGTTCGTCACTAAGATCTGAGTCGTTCTCAGATGCCCATGTAATGCAGCCCATTCTCTCTTCCCTTTTGTGGCAGGAAGAACTGGAGCGGGACAAGAGGGTCACCTGGATTGTGGAGTTTTTTGCCAATTGGTCTAGTGATTGCCAGTCATTTGCTCCTATCTATGCTGACCTGTCCCTCAAGTGAGTAGTGCAAAGGGAAGTGCAGTGGAATGCTGTAGCTTCCCTCTTCTTTTTGTCCTTGAAGTTTGCACATCTGAAGTTGTTTCTTTTTCCTTTGCCCAGATACTTATATTTCCACTTCCCTTGATTCATTCCTTCATTTCTCAGTATGTTAAATTATCTTTGCAGGTACAACTGTACAGGGCTAAATTTTGGGAAGGTGGATGTTGGACGATATACTGATGTTAGTACCCGGTATGTAAACATCTGGGCTGAGGGTCTGAGCAGGAAACCAGTTTAGGTGATGTATACAGGTGCATTTACAGAGTCCTTTCTGAGTCCTGTAGGTACAAAGTGAGCACATCACCCCTCACGAAACAACTTCCTACCTTGATCCTGTTCCAAGGTGGGAAGGAGGTAATGCGGCGGCCACAGATTGACAAGAAAGGACGGGCTGTCTCTTGGACCTTTTCTGAGGTACCTGAAAAAATGGTGGTTTGGAGAAGGGTGTAAAACAGTGGATGGGTTTTAAGCTTAATCTGCGTTTTTTATTTCACTTCTGCCACTTGCCCACTAGTTTTTAGGATGGACTAGTTTATAAGGTTGTTTGTATTGATAATGTGTCTATGTGAGTACAGGCTCTCTGGATCCCCCGGAGCTGGAGTTACAGGTAGTTGTGAGCCACACAGCGTGGGTGCTGGGAACTGAACTTGGGCCCTCTACAAAAGCAGTAGGTGCTCTTAACCACTGAGCCATCTCTTCAACCCCTAGACCTCACTTATTTGCTCAACAAATTTGTTATATGCTGCTAGTACTGAGGAAAAATTATAAAGACAGTATCTGAGGTGCATATAATCTGTAGGCAATTAGGGTCCTCATCAGTAACACCTGGCTCATAGGATTGTTTTGCCAGCTGCATATAGGTATAATTCTTGGCACAGTAATTGGCATCTAGTGGACACTTAAGTGTTAGAGGTAAACTAGATTAGATTTCTGTCATCTGCTTCTACCCCTTCCTAGACTGTTTAAATACTTCTTGCTCCCAAACTCTGAACTTTGCTTTCCAACCTACAGCCTAATCTCTTTTGCATAGGAGAATGTAATTCGAGAATTCAACTTGAATGAGCTATACCAACAGGCCAAGAAACTGTCGAAGGGCGGAGACAGTACCCCAGAGGAGAAGCCTGTGGCCCCCACTCCCACTGCTGTGCCAGATAAAGAGAACAAGAAGGACAAATAGAATCCTGCCTTCTCACTGCTTCCTGTCAGTTCCTGGCACCAGATCCTGCTCTAACGACGAGCTTTGCCTGAGGCTTTAGCCATTTATTTGTTTCTCCTGTTTGGCTGTGATTGGGTCAGGCAGGGTGACTGCTTCTGAATTTTAAAGAAGCATCCAGGGAGTCTTGGTGCATTCTGCAGGGAGGCCTACTGTGCCCTGGCCAACTGTTTCTCTAAGAGGGTGATCTGTGATGGAGGTGGAAATGGTTTCCCTCCAAGATTGGGTCGGTGTTCTCCAACTGCTCTCCAATACTTGGGACATCACCAGTCTGTGGTTTCAAGATTCTTATTGGGCCCACCAAACCCTAGACTAAATTAAATTTGATGTTAGATGCCTGAATTTTTCCACAACCCTTTCTTCCTTAGCTCCTTCTGGCTTGATGTATGACATTACAAAATTTAATCCTGAAAATGTCAAATCCCAGTGAAATTCCTTCAACCAGAATTTTCATTGGGAATAGTGTTGAATGAGCCCCCTGTATTGTGGGGATTTAGAGGAAAGGTAATGGAAACTTGAGACGTTCCTTTGTGTGGTGGGATCAGGAGAAAGCCTCAGGGCTGGACAGTTTTCTCCTACTGCCCACACCCAGCTATCCATAATAAAGAGACCTGGATCGTTCTTTTGTGTTGTTTCTTTTATTAATAAAACAGACAACTGTAGGGCAACCGCCCATCTTTTCTGATGCTGGGGAGTGAAAAACTCTGGGCCTTCACTAGTCAAACTGGTCCACCACCAAACTATACTACAGTTCCTAATTATGCCCCCCCCCTTTAAAAAAAAAAAGCTTGTGGGTGATGGTCTTGCTCTGTTGCAGAGGTAGCCACAAATTCACCATCCTACCTCCAGCATCTACAGCGCCTGCTGTTGCCCCTGGCTCTAAAACGGCGATGGTCAAAGCCGAGACTTCAAAGGCTACCTACCCCGTTTGCTTTCACCAAGTGCGGGGCGCTGAGCCCTGAGCCCAGGCCTGGTGAGTTACTGTAATCCAGCACACGAACAGCAGGAAAGTGGAGCCTGAGTTCATTTGGGTTGGATCCCAGGGAAGGTGCAGGCACGGTAAACCCCGAGCTAAACAAGCGTAGGCCTTCAATCTGCCCGGTGTCGGTCCCAGTTCCGTCCCCTCAATTCCGTGCGGGGTGGTACGGCCTGGTCCTTCCGCACCTTCCCCCTTCCCCTTCCGGTAGGCTGCGCTGTTGTGCTAAAAGGTTCCGCCTCTGGACCACGTGGGCGCCGGTGACCGCGCTTTCTGCTATTGGGGAGGTCTGGTTTAGAGCTACGCTGCTTGTTCCTCTGGCAGTGGTCCGGTCTCCATCTTTCCCTCCAGCTCCCCATCCCTAAATCCGGTCAGCACCAGCAGGTTCTGGGCGCCATGGCTCCTCGCGGGAGGAAGCGGCAAGCCGAGGCCACTCCGGGCGCGAGGGTGGATAAGCGGGAGAAACCGATGAACGGCGGGGACGCAGCGGAGGGCCCGGCCGTCGTCATTGAACATTGGTGAGGTGCCGGGGGGACACACGGGGGGACGGGACGGGACGGCGTCTCGGACCAGGCCCCCCTCCCTAACCCAGTCTGCCCGCAGCACCAGCTGACGTGTTTACGGGCGCAACGCCGCTGCCCTGAGCCAGGCGCTGCAGCTCGAGGCCCCGGAGCTTCTGGTGAAGATGAACCCTTCCAAGCCCCGGAGGGGCAGCTTCGAGGTGACGCTATTGCGCCCCGACGGCAGCAGTGAGTGGGGGGATGCAGGAGGCCTGCGTGGGGTGGGAAGCGAAGAGCCCCGGCCACTCGATGTCTGAGGGAGGTACTATGAATTCCAGAATAACTACATTCTGTCCTTTCCCAGGTGCCGAACTCTGGACTGGAATTAAGAAGGGTCCCCCGCGAAAACTCAAATTTCCTGAGCCTCAGGAAGTGGTTAAAGAACTGAAGAAGTACCTTTCATGAAGTGGTTTGGGCAGGAGTCCTCGTGCTGAGGTTTGCGGTGGACAGGGGATTCATCTTGCTGGACAGCCTATTTCACACTGATTTTAACATTCTATGCATAACCACCTAGCCATCTCCTCAGCACCTCACAGGCTTTTTAACGAGCTCAACTGTAGGGCTGGAGAGATAGGTCAGTGGTTAAGAACACTGTTCTTACAGAAGACCCGGGTTCGAATCCCAGCACCTACATGGCAGCTAACAACTGTCCGTAACTCCAGTCCCAGGGGGATCTGACAGCTTTCTGACCTCCACAGGCATTGCACAACAAGGGTGCACTTACCTACATGCAGGCAATACATGCATACACATAAAAATAGTAAAATTTTAAAAACCCAAAAAAACTCAATTGTAGAATTCTGCCAATCCCCAAAAGTGATATCTCTATGGAAGTGAAATTTGTGCTCTTCTATTGGATTCACTGTTTCCTTTCCAGGATATAGATCAGTTTTTCAATGATTTCATTTGTACAAGTGCTTTGTGTGGTGTGCAGTGCCTACCTGTGAAGACAGGAGACCAGGGTCACAGTCACTATGTGGGTGCTGGGAGACAAACCCAGATCCTCTGGACTGGTAGCTAAATCAATTACAAATCTTACAGGTTCCCTTACCCAGTTAAAGTCATGTTTTTGTAGTTATGACAGTTTTTACCCATGAATTGGCAGAACCACCTTACTTACCTACACTTTCTGGGTTTTTAATAGTCTATGTGAGAGCCGGGGGAGTGGTGGCAGCACTTGGGAGGCAGAGGCAGGTGGATCTCTGAGTTCAAGGCCAACCCGGTCTCCATAGTGAATCCAGGCCAGCTAGGGCTACAGGGAGACCCTGTCTCAAAAAAGACCAAAAAAAATAAATAAATAAAAATAAAAATCTATGTGATAACTGCATTACAACGACCCCACTCTTGGTTACAAGGATTTGGCATTGCTTCATACAGTGCCTTGACTCTCGGCATGTTAAGTGAGCTCTAGGGAAAAGGACAAAATTCTATGATTTCCTGAGTTTGAGAGTCTAACCGGGGGCCATATGTTACATGGTCCTCTGGTTGCCAGAATCCCTTCTCATGTTCCTTTCTCTGTTTGCAGCTTTCAGTCCCTGGTGATGTTGGAGCATTTATGATGGGGCATGGCCAAACTTTAGTTATGTACCTGAAGTCAGAGTTTCCAACTCTCCAGAAATGATGGTTCAGTTGTGAGGCAACCCTTCATTATTAAGGCATTGTAAAAGTGTTTGGATTTGGTTTAATAAAGTTGAAATAAAGTATCTGAGTAAGGGTTAAATTTAAATTTGTCTTAAGGGATGGACAAAATCAGCTTTGTGGGGTATTGGTCCTTGTGTTTTTCATAGCCCAAAGTAACCATTTGGTCTGAAATTTGTAGAGTCTGTGTAATATGTGTCACTGAGTTTAGTAGTGCATGCCTATAATCTTAGCACTTAGAAGCTCAAGACCTACATGAAACTGTTATCTTAAACAGAAAACTGGATCTTGAACTCACTTGTTGGAAGTGATGACCGAAATACATCTTTCTGGGCCCTGTGGAAGTTTTTACTGGACTTCCCATACTGGCAGTAAGTCTCATAGGCTGGGACTAGTGGCAGAGGCTGATTAGGAGGCTGAGGATTCAATATTCAATGCCAGCCTGGCCAGTTTAATGAGATCCCACTTTGAAACTCATTCAAGTGTTCTGCCTAACACAGCTTCATCTCTTCTGGAACATTCTTAAACAGAACCGAACACAAATCATATTCTAAGTTTTTCCTGGTCTTAGCTATGCCCGTGACTCACTAGAGTTAGGGACCACACAATTTATTTTACTTGTCACTAACTGAAAAGCATTACAGAGAAATAGCTTGAGTTCATAATTTTCTACCCATGGTACTGCTATTTGGCTTCTGCTTGGTACTCAAACCTAGGGAGGAAAGGTTAGAGAGTTAGTGCTCAGGGGAGGGCATTTCTGCCGATAAGCCTTTTACTGGTTAAAACCTGTCACCCTCCTAGGGTCTAACCTGCTTTCCTACCTCCACTATGTTAGTATATCTACTTCTGTTTCTGACTCTGAAGAAGGGTCAGGCCATACAGAGGGAACACTGGTGGGTCCCAGCCTCCCCTCTGTTGTCCAGTCTACCACATCAATCTCTTCATCTTCGGAGCTAGCAGGAAACAGGTCCAGCAGTTCAGAGTTACCAGACACCTCCATGCCTGCCTTGGAAGAAGGGTACAATACCTCATCTATGCTTAGGGACACTTCCAGCCCCGTCTCTGCCCAGTTTGAGCACGGAGGCGAGAGATCCCCATAACACCTTTGGGGAGGGTCAAGGGAGTCAAGGTGGAGAAGCTTATCTCCCTGACTATCTAGTGGCTGGGAGTTGGTCATTTCAGGGTCTGGAGTCCAAGAGCCTCTCAATGACAGTGCCTCTCTACTCATCTCAGAAGACATGACAAGGGGGCTAAGGGGCTCAATTGAGTCTGTGCTTTCAGAGGGCATGACAAGGGGACTAAAATGCTCAGTTGACTCTTTGTTCTCACCAAGAGGCTCCTTTTCCAATCTTGTGAGTTCTCTGGGCCAGAGTTCCACATCTGGCAAACACCATTCTTCCCCTTCAATCCAATTCTTTCCTGTTTCGGACAGGTGATAACTAGGGGTTCTGTAGCCCTCAGCCCCAGGACTCTCCAGAGATCCTACAGGAGGAGGTTCAACCTCTGAGCCACAAAGCATGAAGTCTAGGATCTCTTCCAGCTCACTGGTGGCTGCAGCACTTGTGATTCGGTACTGCTCAGCTTCACAGGGCTGACTGAGCAATGTGGTGTCAAATGTGTAGGGCTCTGTGCAGTCAATATTCATCACAGGTTCCTTCCCTATCAGCATTGGACTGGATCCAAACTCTGCCTGCACCACAGGGTGTTCTGGGGAGTGGCTAGCAGAGAGCAGAATGTTTTGTAGCCTAGGGTCCTCAGGGGAGTCCTGACACAGTTGTATTCCAGCAGGTATTTCCTGCTCATTAACTGAGGACAGCTGTGCTACTGGAGACTCTTCTGTATCTCTGGGTTCTGGGATCTGAGAGCTATCTTGAGAGTTTCTGAGGGGAGGCTCTTGGACCACCTCCCAGCAGGTTCCATTAACAATCTTTCGAAGTTTGACTCTCCCAATCTGCCCCTCCTCTGCCGAATCAGAGTTGGGTGCTCTGAATTCAGGGCTCTGCTTCTTGCTGCCCCCTGTCTTCCCAGCATCAGGTGGGTTTGGAGTGCTCCGTAGAGGGCTGTGTTCCCGTGGCTTCTGCTTGTCCACACCCTGTGCTGCTTTATTTATACTCCTCTGCCTCCAAAGACGTCGGCCAGGGGCTGTGGGCACTGAGCTGGGTCCACTTAAAATGCTGGAAGGCTTGGATGTACAAATATGGGACGAGGGCTTTGAGCGACTCAGTCTGATCTTTCTGGGTAACAGTTGCTCATCCACAGAATACAGGCTTGGAGGGGAGAGCGTTGCAGGACCTAGAGCAGGGTCATTCTTGTTCTCCTTAGGCCTCTCCCTGTGGCTTGATGGAGCTGAGCTGCTTTCTTCAGTCAGGCAAACTCTGGCTTTTTTCTTGAGTGGAAGAGTGTCTGACAAGCTCTCTGCATTTGGCAGGTTGCTCTTTCTGTGAGGCCTCTCTTCTTCCCCTAAGGACTTCAACCTTATTGCCCCAAGAGGATAGGAAGTCTGGGTGACAGGCAGTGGAGTTCGAGGGTGGTGGCTGGGTGCCACCACTCTGGCAGGGATGGGTGGAGCACTTGGTGGTTGAAGGCACTCTCGGTTTAGTCTTCGGGCCTGTGGGGCCTTCACTAACTTCCCACCCTCTAGCTGAAGAGTTTCTAGCTCGGATACGCGGAGCTGACGAGCAGCAGAAAGCACATCCTGGGCTTCTTCTTGAGATACTTCCATTTCTGAGGTATAGAGGAAGTCCACGAGCTTCCTGAGTGTCCTGATTTTCAGGCCACCGAGCTCCAGTACCACCTTCCGACCCTGAACTGGTCTTTCCCGCTCTAGGCATTCTGTGAAGAAGGGGCTGCAGGCGGACAGGATGCAACAGTGGGCTGGAACAGCCCCACCTGGAGAAAAATTCACACTTAGGAAGACTGGAATGTTTGTGAACTAAGTATGGACATTACAACTCAAATGTATTGCCCTTTCTCGTTTTCCTCCATGGCATTTTAAGCAAAAGGAGAATTTTGTTTCTTCTGTCTCTCTGCTTACTAACTTTTGCTTAGCTGACTTGTTTTTTTCATCTTCCAAATTTTTTTTTTTTTTTTTTTTTTTTTTTTTTTTTTGACAGGGTCTCCCTGTAGTCCTAGATGACCTGAACTCACTATGTAGACCATGCTGGCCTTGAACTCAGAGATCAGCCTGCCTCTGCCTCCTGAGTGCTGGGATTAAAGGCATGTGCCACCACGCCTGCCTAAAATCTTCCTTTTATACAACTTCCTTCAAAAGCCTTTCTCTGGCCTCCAGAGATGGCTCGGGATCCGATGGCATCTTCTGTCTTCTGTGGGCATTGTATGACACAGGTGCACTTACATGCAAGCAATACACACATACACATAAAAATAATAAATGAAAATATTTTAAAAATACTCTAAAAAGGTCCTAGTTCTTTCCCTTTACCTCCCTGGTTCCTTTTCATTATCCTGATTCTTCTCTATGTTATACCTTTTTTTTTTTTTTTTTTTTTTTTTTTTTTTTTTTTTTAAAAAAAAAAAAAAAAGAGGACGATAAATCTTTCACTGTGAGGCTGGCCTAACTCAGAGATCCACCTGCCTCTGCCTCCCGAGTGCGGGGATTAAAGGCGTGCGCCACCAGCCTGGCTGTGTTATAGCTTTTAATTTCATATATCCCGTCTCAATTTCCCTTCCAGCTGCTGAGACAAAATATTCTGACAAAAGCATGGTGGCACATGCCTTTAGCCCCAAAACTTGGGAGGCACAGACAGGCAGATCTCTGTGAGTTCAAGGCCAGCCTGGTCTACATAGTGAGTTCCAGGCCCACCAGGGATACAGGGAGACTCTGTCTCAAAAAGGCGAAAAGAAAAAAAAGTAATGTCTGCTCCTACAGAGGGCCAGGTTTCTGTTCCCCAAACCCACATAGCAACTAATAACCTTTCCAGGGGATCTGATGCCCTCTTCTGGCCTCCATGGGCATTGCATGAATGTGGTGCATACATAAAAATAAATTTAAAAAAAAATTAAAACAAAGCCTTTCTCAGGTGGTCCTAGCACTTGGGAGGCAGAGTTTGAGTCCAGCCTGGTCTACATAGTGAGTCCCAGGCCAAGCAGGGCTACAGAAGGAAGCCCTGACTCAAAAAAAAAAAAAACCCCAACAAAGAAAAAACAAATAACCAAACAAATGAAGAATGCTGTTCTCCAGCCCACTGCAAGTATGAGTTAAATGCTCCTGGGCAGAGATCCTCTGCAGTAATCATACCACTTACCAATCTCTATTGGAATTGCCCACCTCCCTTAACACTTTCTGAAAGCGTTTTTAAAGTAAGGGACCATGTCTGTCTTGTTCACTGAAGAGTTAGTACTTGACACAAAATAGAACTTAGAGCCAAGCACATACTTGTAATCCCAGCACTAGGGAGGCCAAGGCAGGAGGATCACCATGAGTTCAAGGGCTAGTGAGTCCCTGTATTACTAAATAAAAATTAAAATAGGGGTTATGTGGCTGGAGAGATGGCTCAGTGGTTAAGAGCATTGGTTGCTCTTGCAGAGGACCCGGGTTCAATTCCCAGCACCCACATGACGGCTAACAACCATCTGTAACTCCAGTTCCAGGGGATCTGACACCCTCTTCTGACCTCCATGGGCATTGCACAACACAGGTGAGTTCTTATATACATGCAGGCAATATACTCAAAATAAAAATAAATAACAAAATATTTTAAAATAGGGGTTATAGAAGATCAAATACTTCCTGAATAAATTGTATTGACTCACCTGAGAGTTCAGAAAAAGAGGAGTTTATGGTTTAGAATAGTAATAGTTGGACTGGTGGCCTGTACATATAATTCCACCACACAGGAGGCAGAGGCTAAAGGATCATTGCAAATACAAGGCCAGCCTGGTCTACATATTGAGTTTCAGGGCAGCCAAGGTTACATAATGAAACTGTCTCAAAAAACAGAAATAGCCTAGGCAGCATGGTGATCACACCTTTAATCCCAGCACTCTGGAGGCAGAGGCAGGTGGATCTCTTGTGAGTTTGAGGCCAGCCTGCTAAAGTAGTTTAGTGAGTTCCACGCTAACCAGGGTGTCAAAGCAAAATTAAAAACAAAACAAACCAAAACCTCACCATACCCATAAATAAAGGAAACAGCAAAGAGATAAAGAATGAAGGGAAGGAAAGAGAAGGGAAAAGACAAACAGGAGCTCTGAAGGTAGACATTAAGTGTGGATTCTGTCTTCAGTGCTAATCACTTCTTATTTTTGTGGGGACTTCCTGGATAGTCTTACTCACTCAGTGGCTTCAATTTCAAAGGCCTGCTGATGACTTCCACATCCATGTCTCTAGATAGGTATCTTTACTGAGATAGCAAACACATCCTAGCCTCCATATCTACACAATGCCTCACAAATACTTCTAATGCAGTCTTCCTAGAAAATGAGCATATCATTCCACTCTCCAAAACCTCTCATATTTTCTACAACAAATAAGGTCTCACATTCATTCAGTAACCTAAGCCTGAAAATTAGAAGTCATCTGATTGTTCCTTGCTTACCAAATCTAATCAAATATAAAAACAGAAATTGGGGGGCTGGCTCAGTGTGTATAAAGGTGCCTGCCTCCAAGCCTGATGACTCAAGACTGATCCCCAAGGCCCACACAGTGGAAGGAGAGAATGGATTAGCTGTCCTCTGACCTTCACATAACAGGTACACACGTGTGCATGCACGTACACACACACACACGCACGCGCACACACACACAAATAGAATGTAAAAATTTATTTTTATTTTATGTGCATGTAATGCCTACATGTATCTAAGTGCACCTATATCATGCAGTGCCCATGCAGGTCAGAGGAGGGTGTCAAATTCCCTGGAACTGGAGTTATAGATGGTTGTTAGCTGCCATGTGGGTGCTGGGAACTGAACCCTGGTCCTCTGCAAGAATAGCCCATGCTATTAACCACTAAGCCATCTCTCTAGCCCCAAAAGCAAATAAAAAAATTAAGGGAAGGAAGGTCTCACTGTAGACCAGGCTGAACTTGAACTCACAGTGAACCTCTGACCTTAGCCTCCTGAATGCTGGGATTGCAGGCATGAGCCATCACACTTGGCCCTCAAATATCAATTTTTTTTTGTCTTTTTTTGAGATGGGGTCTTCCTGTAGCCCCAGCTGGCCTGGAACTCACTTTATAGACCAGGCTGGCCTCAAACTTAGAGATCCGCCTGCCTCTGCCTCCCGAATGCGGGGATCAAAGGCATGTGCCACCACACCTAGCTTCAAATATCAATTTTATAAATGACTATCTTGAGTCATTATATGGCACCAGGCAATGTTCTAAGGGTTTTACCAGTATTAATCCGACTACATATCACTGTAACCCTGTAAAGTAGATAATGGTAATGATTATAGATGAGTAAACTGAGTAAATACCATACCTAAAATTATACAGTTAGTAGTAGGGTTAAGATTCCAACCCAAAGCCAGGCATGGTGGTACATGCCTTTAATTCCTGCACTAGGGAGGCAGAGGCAAGCTCTGTGACTTCCAGACCAGCCAGACCCTGCCTCAAAACAAAACAATTAACCAATCAACTAACAAAAAACCCCCAAAGATTCCAACAGAGTCTGGTTAGAGTCTATACTGATGGACACTTGTAAGTGTTGTGAATTCTCTTACACAATGCACACATTTCTGTTTTTCTAATGATTTATTAATTTTTGTCTAAGTATTTTGATGGCCAGTATCTATACTGGTATGTGTGTAGTACCTGAGAAGGCAGGAAGAGGGCAACAGAGCTGCCACGTGGGTGCTGGGAAATGAACTCAGGTCTTTTGGAAGAACTGCAAGTACTCTTAACCCCTGAGCCAGCCCCATTTCTCTTTTCTGGGTGCCTCAGTTCAAGCCACCATTCAGTTCTCTCCTGGATTATACAATAGTCTCCTACGTGGACTCAATAATCACTTGACATAGCCTGAGTGTACTGTTATTTGTGTTTTTTTAAAAGAAGTATTTTTATTGCCAGGTGTGGTGGCCCACACCTTTAATCCCAGCACTTGGGAGGCAGAGGCAGGCAGATCTCTTGTGAGTTTGAGGCCAGCCTGGTCTACATAGTGAGTTCCAGACCATCTGGAAGACCTTGTCTCAAAAAGACCAAAAAAAAAAAATATTTTTATTTACATGTATGTGTGTGTCTGTGGAGGCCAGAAAAGGGCATTGGATCCCTTGGAGCTGAAGTTACAGGTGGCTATGAAATATCCAACAGGTGGCTATGAAATATCCAACTTGGGTCCTGGAATAGCCCTGTGTGCCATTTCTACATCAGGACTCCAACCATAACCTCCTGCTTTAAATCGTAGTTTCCCAGTGACCCGAGGACAAGGTCTACTGCAGACTACTAATTTCTTCTAGCCAACTCTGGCCTATAGTTTGTGTTTCAGCCATAATGAACCATTCACAAACCCCTGGTGGACACATTTCTGAATCTAGTACATGATGTTCTCTCTGGGAAAATCTTTCCTTACTTCCTCCTCGTTCTGTATGCCTTTCAAATCTCACCTTAGCAATTATTTCCTAAGAAAAGCTCCTTAATTCCCCAAGTTTGTGAAGGATACACTTTCTTTTTATTCTTATTTCAGTCTTTACTTTTTTTGAGATGGTCTTTTATTGGGACCTGGGGCTCAATGATCAGGCTAAGCTGGCTGGCCCTTAAGTTCCAGTGTCCTGTCTCTACCTCCCCAGTGCTAGAATTATAAGTGAATGCCACCATGCCAGGTTTTTGTGTGTGACTTTAGTCAACTGAACTCAGGTTCTTCTGTTTACAAGGTAAGCACTTTACCAACCATTTCCCCAGCCCTACACATTTTTTTTGTTGTTGTTGAGTCCGATGTTCATGTAGCCCAGGCTGACCTCCAACTGAACTGTGCAGCTAAAGATGACTCTGAACTCCACATCCTCCTGCTTTTACCTCCTAAGTACGAGGATTACAGGCATGCACTACAAGTCCACATTTAAAAGTTATTTATTCCTAGCCACTGGGTGTGGTGACACATCTTTAATCCCAGTACTTGGGAGGCAGAGGCTGGTGAATCTCTGTGAGATCAAGGCCAGCCTAGTCTACATAGTGAGTTCCAGGTCAGCTGGGGCTACAGGAAGACCCTATCTCAAAAAGACCAAAAAAGGAGGGGGCAGAGAGATGGCTCAGTAGTTAAGAGCACTGGCTGCTCTTGCAGAAGACCTGGGTTTGATTCCCAGCAGCTAACGACTGTTTTTTATAACTCCAGTTCCAGGGAAATCCAATGCTTCTTCTGACCTCCTTGGGCATGCACTGCATAACATGGGTACACTTATACACATACATACACATAAAATTTTTTAAAAAAATTTAAAAAAGACCAAAAAGATTTATTTCTACATTTATTTACTTATTTTTGTGTGCACCTGCATGGCCATGGGTGCTACAGTTTATGTATGGAGGTCAGAGGACAACTTGTGAAATCAGTTCTCACGTTCTACAATGTGGATCCTGGGGATTAAACTCAGATCATCAGGTTTGGTGGAAAGCTTCATTCTATGAGCCATCTTACCTGCCCTACTTTAAAAAAATTATTTTATGTGTATGAGTGTTTTGCTTACATGTATGTAAGTGTACCATGTGTGCATAATGCCCATGGAGGCCAGAAGAAGGTGTCAGATCCCCTGGAACTGGAGTTACATGGGTGCTGGGAACTGAACCATCTCTTTAGCCTCCTAGTTTTTTTTTTTAGAGTAAGCATTTGCTATCATGCCTAGCTCCAATTATATTTTTAATATACTGCATTTACTCGAATACACTGGTTATTTCAATGTCTTCCCCCTCACATGAACTCCTTAAAACAAAGGACTTATTTTTTTGTTACATGAAAACTATTATCAAACAACTTATTTTATTGCTTATTTTGAATTAAAAAAATGAAGCTAGGTGTGGTGGTGCAATCCTAGCACTGGGGAGGTTGAGGTACAAGGTTCATGAGTTCAAGGTCAGCCTCAACTACACAGTGGGCTATGAGACACCTAATCTCATAAAACAAAATGAGAGGCTTGGTGGCACATGCTTTTAATCCCAGCAATCCAGAGGCAGAGACAGGCAGATCTCTGTGAGTCTGTGGTCAGCCTCATTTATATAGTGAATTCCAGGTCAGCTGGGGCTATATAGTGAGACTATCTAAAAAGGGCCCATGAGATGGCTGAGCCTGAGTTTGATTCCTGGTACCCACATGGTGGAAGGGAAGAACTAACTTTAGCCAAGTTGTCTTTTGGCCTTCACACATGTGCCAGGGCATGTATGTACCCACACACAAACACACACACATGAAAATAAAAATAAAAACAAATGAACTAAAAATTAATCATAGCTCCACACCAATTCACTAGTCTGTAGAACTGGAACCATAAAATACTACTTTTATAACAAGGCTGTTAGGTTCAAATGAGACACCATACCATACTGTACTCTGCAAACTCTGGAGTACCATATATAATGTTTGCACAATCCATTTTTAAAAATGAAGAAACTGAGCCCCAAATGATGACTTTACTTGCACATCTGACAATTGCTAAATAATTAGAACCAAGCTGAGCCTCTGACTCCTTATCTTGGGTCTTTTGTATTAAGTTAGAGTCCACTTCATGCTGATTTAACAATTTCATGTAAAGAGAAGGGATGGAAATAAGCCACATATTTTTTGCTTTAGTTCTAATAACCAATAACAAAAATCACTAATTTGAAGATGAAAAAAAAAAAAGAACACTTAAGCAGCAGCTAGGAAAGAAAGAGAGAAAACATGTATCAGCTAACATACTTTGTTTGAGACAGACTGTTTTTCTTTCTTCTTTCCCTTGCTCCTTATGCCAAGCTGGGGATGGGCAGGGGTTTGCAAGCTTCCAGGGATTCTCCTGTCTCTGCCTCCTATCTCCTTGTAGGAGTGCTCAGATTATAGAAATATGTTATGTGTTTGGCTTTGTTTGTTTTTAAGGCAGGGTCTCACTATGTAGCCCAGGCTGCTCACAACTTTCTGTGTAGGCCAGGGTGGCCTCAAACTCAGAGATCACTTGCTTCTGCCTCCCAGCATGTTGTTTGGCTTTTAGGGATTCAAGCTCAGGTCTTCATGCTTGTACAGCAAGCAGTTTTACCCACTGAGCCATCTCCCCAGTTCTCTTACTATTTATTAAAGATTTTCATTTTTATTCCTGTGTCCATGTGAATGTATGCCAAGTCTGTGTGGGTGTTTGCATAGGCCAGAAGAGGGTGTTAGAGCCTCTGAAGCTGGAGTTACAGGCAGTTGTGAGTCACTTGATGTGGGTGCTAATATCAGAACTCAGGTTCTTTAACCCTTTAACCCCATCTTTCCAGCCCCCCCCTTATTTTTATGAGGCAGAGTATCATATAGCCCAGGCTGGCCTCAAACTCCCTATGTAGCCAAGGATGACCGTGAACTTTTTAATTTTTTTTATTCTTTTTGAGAAAGGGTCTCCCTGTAGCCCCAGCTAGCCTGGAATTCACTGTGTAGACCAGGCTGGCCTTGAACTCACAGAGATCCATCTGCCTTTACCTCTTGAGTGCTTGGATTATAGGATTAAAGGCATGTGTCACCATGCCTATTGACAGTGAACTTCTGATCCTCCTGCTTCCACCTCTTCAGTGCTGTGATCAAAGGCAAGCACTTCTATGCCTGGTTTATTCTGTGCTTGGAATGGAACCCAGGGTGCTTCATGAAAGCTAGGTTTTTTAAAAAAATTTTACATTTTTTTTATTTAATAAAACAAAACAGGGTCTGGGTATTCAAGATGACTCAGCAGGTAAAGGTACTTGCTGCCAAGACTGATAACCTAAGTTTGATCCCAGAACCCCATGGTGGGAGTAGACAAGTGATTCCTGCAAATTGTCCTCTGACCTTCACACATGTGCCATGGTATACTTCCCAACTTACAAAATGAATGTTGGAGGAAAAAATAAAAAAAGACAGAGTAGCACAGGCTATCCTTGTCCTTGACCTGTGGTAATCCTAAATGCTGGAATTACAGGTGTGAAGCATCACAACTGGCTTCAGGTTTTACTTTTCAAGGAAGAAAAAAAAAGCATAGTCACAATTTCACTCTTGAGAACAGTCATTATTCTAAAGGGGCTGGGGATGTAGCTCAGTTGGTAGAGTGCTTACCTAGCATGCATAAAAGCCATGGGTTTGATCCCCAGCTCTGCATAAATTGGACATGGTGGCAAACTCAGGAGGTGGAGGCAGGAAGCAGTGGGAGGATCAGAAGTTCAAGGTTATTCTCACTACACAGGAGATTTGAGACCAGCCTGGGCTACATGAGACCCTGTCTCAAAAAATGAAAAGTAACTGTCCTAGAAGCAAATAGCTTTTTACCAGTTTGCAATATTTGTAGGTAATAACTCTCTGGGGTTTGTTCTTCACCTCTGGCCTTAAACTCATTTTCTTATTGTACAGTGAGTTTTTGGTTGACGCTCTCCTATAGTCTCTTACCTTCTGCCTGCAGAAGGGCATCACAAAACACACCACTCTGCTGCTGGTGATGAAGCTGCAGAAAAGCTACTCGGAGGAACCGGGGGTTCCTGTATAGGATTTTGGAAGTAGCAGGAGAGCACATGTTGTATTTGGTTAATAAGTCTTCTAGGTTTTCCTGGATCAGATTCCTGTGGGTTAGATAATACATTTCAGAGGTGTGATTATACCTAGTTAATTTTTGTCTTTGAAATAGCAGAGAAAATTTGAAAGTTACAGACAATGAGTTGATGAAACATCAGCTCAGAAGTTGTGCTAAGGATATTGCAAGAAAGAGTATTTGGGGCTGGAGGCTCAAGGGTTAAGAGAACTTGCTGCTCTTGCAGAGGACCCGAGATCTGCCCCTAGCACCCAGACCAGGCAGCTCACAACCACCTGTAACTCTAGCTCCAGGAGATCTTATTCCCTCTTCTGGCTTCCAGGAGTGTGCACAAACATGCAAACACATACACACACACATAAAAATTATATATACAGCTGGGCATGGTGGCGCATGCCTGTAGTCCCAGCACTTGGGAGGCAGAGGCAGACAGATCTCTGTGAGTTCAAGGCCAGCCTGGTCTACATAGTGAGTTCCAGTTGGGCTACAGGGAGACCCTGCTTCAAAAAGAAAAAAAAATTGTGTGTGTGTGTGTGTGTGTTGTGTAAGGGCTGGAGAGATGGCTCAGCAGTTAAGAACACTGGTGTTCTTGCAGCAGAACCCAGCACCCACATGACAGCTAACAACTGTCTGTAACTCCAGTCCCAGGGGATCCAACAGTCTCTTTTGACTTCCATGGGCACTGCACGACATGGGTGCATTTACCTACATGCAGGCAATACACACATATACATAAAATAAAAATAATAAATTAAAAAAATATTTTTTAAGTCTTTTTGAGGCAGGGTCTCCCTGTAGCCCCAGCTGTCCTGGAACTCTCTATGTAGACCAGGTTGGCCTCAAACTCACAAAGATCCGCCTACCTCTGCTTCCCAAGTGCTGGGATTATAGGCATGTGCCACCACGCCCGGTATATTTGGTATTTTTGAGACAGGGTCTCCCTGTAGCCCCAGCTGGCTTGGAACTTGCTATGCAGGCTAGGCTAGCCTCAAACCACAGAGATCTGCCTGCCTCTGCCTCCCACATGCTGGGATTAAAGGCATGTGCCACCATGCTGGGCCTATAAATAATTTTTAAAAATCTTTTTTTGAGACAGTCTCCCTGCAGTCCCAGCTGGCCTGGAACTCTCTATGTAGATCAGGCTGGCTTTGAACTCACAGAGATCCACCTGCTTCTGCTTTCCAAGTGTTGGGATTAAAGGCTAGTGCCACCATGCTCAGCTAAGTATTTTTTAAAAGGAAAGAATATTATGATAGTGGTTACATTTAGAAGTTCAGGGTTAAGCCTAGATTTGAATCTTGGCTCTGTTCTTTACAGTACTACCTTGTACAGATTTTTTGTTTGTTTGAGAAAGGGTCTTAGTATGTAGCCCTGACTGGCGTGGAGCTTGCTACGTAGACCGGGCTGGCCTCAAATTCCCAGAGATCTACTTGCTTCTGTCTTTGGAGTGCTGGGATTAAAGACATGCACCACCACACTTGGCTTGTCTAGATTTTAAAAAATATTAAAGAATTTTATTATTTTTTGTTTTATGTGCATGAGTGTATTGCCTGTATGTATTTGTGCAATGTCCAAGGAGGTCAGAAGAGGGCATAGGATCCCCTGGAATTAAGAGTTACACACAGTTGTTAGCTGCCATGTGGGAGCTGGGATTCAAACTCAGGTTCTCTGCAAGAGCAGTCAGTGTTCTTAACCACCGAACCTGCTCTCTCTCCAGCCTTGTCTAGCTTTTTAATAAAACTAAGTGAGCCAGACAAGGTGGAGGCACCCCTGTAATTCTAATACCCAGAAGCAGAGGAAGGAAGACCAAGAATTCTAGGCCATTCTCCTTTTTTATAGCTAGTCCAAGGCCAGCTTGGGCTACATGGGACTGTCTGAAACAAAACAAGTGAGTGCATGGTGGCACATGTCTGTAATCCAAGCACTTGAGAAAAAGAGGCAGGATGAGAGTTTGAGGCCAGCCTGGACTACAAGGGGAGACCCTGACTCAAAAATAATAAATAAATAAATGAGTCAATAGTACAGCGTGTCTGGCACAAAATAATTACCTTCCCCCAACACCAGCTCATTCACGTCAGCACTGAGCCGTCACTCCATAGTGCTAACTACTCACATTCTTCCTGGGCACCACCTTCCAGTATATTCTCTCTTTTTTTTTTTTTTTTTTAAGAGCTGAGGACCGAACCCAGGGCCTTGCGCTCGTTAGACAAGCGCTCTACCACTGAGCTAAATTCCCAACCTCAATTTAACACTTTCAAAGACAAAACTGCAAGGTATTCAACTGTCTCTTGAAAGATATCCACCTCTTTTTCTAAGCTCACTCTATCACATTAACCAGCAGAGGGTGCACAATCAAGAAAAGACTACTGGAAAAGTCTCACACAGAAATAAGGACAGTGCCACTGTTGGTTGGTTCAAATGTAGTTGAGCAAAGTGAGCTGGATTGATCCTGTCAGTTTGCAAAAATGTGAACTTCATTTGTCTGCCTGGTTAATTACTCGGCTAACAACAGAGCAAGGACAGGTAAGCATTTGACTTTTCCCTAAACAAACTGGTACTTTTACTTCAGGCCTATTCCATTCCTAGCCCCACCCCCTCCCCATACCCCGCCTCACACTCCTGAACAGCTGTGTTCTTTTTCCGGTTTGAGTACGAAGTTTTCAGTCAAATGGCACTGAGGGTCCCAATAGCTCATGTCAAAACTATTAAAAGAAAGGAGTGGATAAGTAAAATTAAGAAAGAGCAGGGGGGGGCTGGAAAGATGGCTCAGCAGTTAAGAGCACTAGCTGCTCTTGCACAGGCCGCAGGTTCGGTTCCCAGCACCCACATGGCAGCTAACAACTGTAACTCCAGTTCCAGGGGACCCAACGCCCTCTTCCAACCTCTGCAGGCATTGCACAACACAGGTGCATTTACATGCAGACAATACACATAAATAGTATTTTTTTTTTTTAAAGAGCAGGGTAAGCTGGGCTTGATGACAAGCTTGTAATCCCTGCTATTATTCAGGAGGGTGGGTCGGGAGTGTGTTTCAGGCCAGCTTGGGTACTTCAGTGAGAGCCTGTCTCAAAATTTAAAAAAAAGTATTGATGGCGTAGCTCAGGGATAAAACACGTGTGAGGCCCTAGATTCAACTCCTAGTGCCAAAAAGAAGATAAAATAAAAAAAGGCTAATTCCCACGCCAGTTCCAGTAATGGGAGTGGAACCACCGGGTGCAAGAGTGCCCTGGCTCTCCAAAACACCAGTGCCTGTTCCTGTCCCTAGACCCACCCTGGAATTGTTTTGCAGCTCCTGTCCTCCCTCTGCTCCGGTCCTCTGGTCAACAGTGTGCCTTGCGTCCTCCTCAAGTCCAGCCTCGGGCCAAGAGGCTCAGCAAAGCATCACTGTGGGCCAACGTCCTCAGGGGTTCTCCTCTGGGTCCAGAGATGAGCTGGCAAAGGCCGGCTGGAAGAGGAGGGCGGCACCGACCGCCCTGCAAAGCTGGGTGCCCCGCACGTTCTGGGCTCCCCGGCCCAACTCCTTAGAAGGGCGTCCGCGCGAGGGTTTCTGGGAATGAAGCATGGAGCTACTTAAGGCCCTAAGTCTGGGCTCGCCCTCGACGACGCCCCTCTCGAGTTTTGCAGGGTCTCTCTGGCGCCCTCAGGCCGATGCACTGGGCGGTGGTGATGACGAGGGCCTGAGGCCGCGCGGCCCAGGCTACACCCCGCGCGACGCCGCCATCCTCGCGCTCCGAGCGTCGCACGGTCCGACGATCTCCTTCCTCCGCCAGCCTCGGCCTACGCGCGCCGCGATACGTCATCCCCATTGGCCCGCCGCTCCCGGCAGAGCCAATCAGAGGGCAGGCGCGCTTTGGCGGGAGGCTAGGTCTCAAGGGAGTTGAGGCTGACAGAAGGTGGACCGGCTGCGAGAGGTATGGCGCGCAAAGAGGGGACCGCGCGGGGTGGACTTTTCTGGATTCTGCCTGGTCGGGCTACTAGCGGACGACTGGGCTTAGACGCCGTGTTAAATATGGCGGGCTCTGAGGGGATGAGGAGGTTCTCCTTGAAGAGGCAACCTTGGTCTGGCCCAGAATCTTGTACCCCAGTGTCATGCATCATGACAGATACCTACCGTTAGGACCAGATAGGTTCTAGAAACGAGGCCATTGGACTAGTTTCCCAAATTCTTTGACCCAAGGGAGTTGTGGGAACGCCTGCTTGGAGGGCTCACCCGTAGCTTGGAAATACTAGTTATTTAGCTCAGTGCTTGATTGGAAACAGCTGTTTTCAGGAATGATACTAAAACATAAACGATTTCAAGATCAAAGCATTTACAGAGAAGCCGGGCATGGTAGCACAGGCATTTAATCCCCAGCACTTGGGAGGCAGGTGGATCTCTGTGAGTTCAAGGCTAGTCTGGTCTACAAAGCGAGTTCCAGAACCGCTGGGGCTACAGGGAGACCCTGTCTCCAAAAGACAAACAGAAACAAACGAAAACATTTACAGAGACTGGCAACCCATGATGTAAAGCTGTGGCTCTTCTTTCCTCCTGTGTATTAGGACCCAGGACCTGGTTTGACTGGCTGCCCCCCAGTAGATGTCCAGTGATGCTCTGGGTAAAAATGGCCGGATTCAAAGCCGTAGGTGACACGCTGTGGTGAATGGAAATGGTGCAGGTCCTGCTGAAGCCAAATGCAGGTAGAAAATAAGAGGCTTAAAAGGAGAAACCTGCAGAGACAAAACGTAGATGGGTGAGTAGGACAGTGTGCTCAAATATGTCTTCTAAAAGTATTTTTTTTTTAATGTGAATGAGTATATTGCCTGCGTATAAGTGCAACCTTGTGGTGCAATGCCTGCAGAGGTCAGAACAGAGCATCTGATTTCCCTGGAACTGGAGTTACAGAAGGTTGTTAGCTGCCGTGTGAGTGCTGGGAATGGAACCCAGCCAGAATTCTTAACCACTGAGCCATCCTGCCAGCCCCTATATATCTTATGGCTACCTAAAC